TATGGGGGAAATGTTAACGTAGGCTCACTAGCTCACAGCTACATATGAGTCTCAATCTAGGTCGATTTGACAGTTACGATTTTACTTCATATTTTAATTTTGATTTTTTTCTTTACAAATCCAAATCATATGAAATTTTGAGGGTATTTTGATCAATTTATTTTTTCAAATTATGTTTCGATATTTTTATTAGGTTCTCCTAGTTTTAAATAAAGTTCCAACACCCCATCTTCCAAATTGTTGTTGTACTTTTATAAAAATTTCAAAATTTTCAATTAAGTTACTTGTTAAAATATTTTTTAATAAAAAAGAAATGATCCTATCAGAAATCATCCAGCACAACCATTCTGACAATTAACCTTTGCATTTTGAGGGATGGTTGACCACGAACCGCCTACACTGTTCACTATACAAAACCACCTCTTTCTTTCTCTCACAAACCCAACAAACAAAAGTACCTCCCTCTCTCTCTCAGCCCATAACCCCTACCCATGCCAATCCTAATGGACACTATCAAAGACAACTTGTATGTCTCTCATAATACATGCACGGAATGGTACCAAAGGCATTGTTGAAGAAAAATGGAGAAAATAGTTCAATAAAATAATCAAAATAGTCAAGATTTGAGTAGATTTAACTTTTTTTATACAAAAATGGTGGCCCCCAAAACTCTAAATAGGGCTTGTTGTTATTATTCTCAGTATATTTTAACTGTTCACGCCTCAAAAGTATTAGAAACGTTAACACGTCGGGGCCTTTTATTACGTTATAATTTTAAAAAAATCAAAACTACTTCCACTTAAGCTAAAACATTATAATAATACATCATAAGTCCCTTTACTTTAAAGAAAAGTTATAATGACACTTTATTCCTAACAAGACAAGTAATTTCATAAGTATTCTAACCACTTTCTAAACATATCTTAAAATTTTAAAAAATATAAAAAAAATTCTAAAATCCTGAAAAAAACTTAAAACCCATAAAAAATAACCCTAAAAATTTTTAAAACTACATTCTTAAATTTTAATAAAAAAATAGAAAATAAGTCACATATTGTCTTGCATCATTCTCTCTTGGTTAGAGAAAACTCCTCCTTGAGTTAAACTAAGATGGATTTTGCGTTAGTCTTAGGATTTTGCGTTTGTCCTACAACCTCCTTCAACCCAAATACTAGAAATATGATCCTAGGACTTGTGAGTTATTGGACTAATCGAAGCACAAAGGTGTTGCGCTGAAACTAAGTCTTTACAATCAATTAATATATCCATAAACACATTTGAGAAAATGGTCATCATACGGTAATGGAATAAACATAATATGTATACTCAGTTCAGTTGCATTAATTATTTGAAATTGCATCAATACAACCATTAGACCTTACTAAATTTGCCTTGGTTCAGCCCTAAAAGACTAGAACATACCAAGGGAGCATTTTGAAGATGATCATCTCCAACCGCTAGTTACTAACCAAATCAGCAACTTCCTCTTCCAAAACTTCATCTTAATCTTAATTATTGTAACCTTCCTTCTCTTTATCCGGTTCTTGATAAAAAGAAAGTTGGATCACCACCTTCTTCATCTGCACATTCATCAAAGATCGCTGGAGACTCAATATATGACTTGTTTCTTCAGGTTTGACGATTCTATAAAGTCATCGGGGCTGCGACTTTCCTTTAAAATCAGGATTATCTACTTTTAGATCCATAGATTTTCAGTGCCACTTATACGTTTGATCATATTCATCGTCACTCAACTTATCCCACGGAGCACTATCGTGAAAAATGATGTACTCAACATCATCTTGGACAAACAAAACTTCATCTCGCCCAAATAGATGCCTACAAGCCACCTTATAAGTTCTTCAACTCGTCGACTCAAATCCTATCTCCTGATCATGCTCATCATGAGGTAGATCCATATGAATATCCATGCCTCCTCGACCTCATCTTGCTGCCATAGGTTCACTAAAATCACAAACACTAGACAAAGAATCAATAAAACCTCGTTAAAACCAACAAGTTCTAAGTTGATTCAGCTAACCTTAAGGTAAAATCAACAAACCCTAGACCTGGCTTCCATATAATACATGGCATTGAAAGGAGGATAGATTTTATTATCATATTTTATTTTTGTTATAGGACTAAGGAATTGATTGTTTGATAACTACCATAACAGTCACTTCATATCACCATAACAAAAGCCCGAATATTGCTTCTTAATAATATGATGAAATATTTATTTTCATTGTTTAAAAAAATATTATCTTTATTTAAGCCTCTCTCTCTCACCACTCCTAATGACCAAAAATATACTTATTAAAAAAATATGATATTATAAAATAATGATATATAAATGTCCAAAATTTTGTTGAATATAATTATAAAATACTATATGTGTAAACACCCTAACATAACCCATATATTATATATAATTTATATTTACATTCATATCATATTAGCCAAACAGAGGTACCTAGAACTTCTTTAACATTCCAACAAGTTATCAAATACAGAAAACTTCTTTTTGTAATTATCTTTCTTCCCAACAAAGAAGAACTTCCAATTTCTAGAGAACGTTTATATTCCAGTTATCTAACAAGCCGAAAGGAAAAAAAAGCGTTATTTGATTTGTTTTTTGTTTTTTCTTTCACAGTGGTTGTCTTCACATAAAGTAGCAGTGGGGTGGGAGAAAGAGGGGAGAAAAAGAAAAGGAAAAAGGAAAATGCCCTCCCTCTCTCTTTTTTCTTTCATCTCTCTTTTTTTTCTTTCATCTCTCTGTTTTATTTTATTTTGACAAGGGTAACATAATTTTATTTCATCAAAGAGCGAGGCAAACAATTCGGTAACAGTTACAAAGGATGATAACTAATACAAAGACCAACAAAAAAAAAAACACTTCAGAGAATCAGGGCTAGAAGGGCCCGTGCCTAGACCAAGCCAGCCCTGGTTCTAGGCCGGCCCAATTCCCCTGAGGGATGGTCAGCCCCAACCCTATACCTATCAAGGCCGAGAAAATTAAAAAACAAACAAAGCAAAATATTGAAAAAGTAACTTGACTGGGCGGGACCTGCCCACGCCCTAGTTTTCTAGGGCCAGACCAATCGGACCAGGACACCCAGCCCATTCCCAGCCCCATCAACAGAATCAATCCTCTCCCCACTCAAACTATGATTATGAATTTTATCCTTACAAATCAAGATTTACATTAACAAATCAATAGATCGCGCCTATTTGCACGTTCTTTGGCTAGCATATCTGCAACAACATTCCTCTCTATAAACATGAATAAATCTAACACTCGTACCTGTCAAAATATCCATTACCTCCTTCCATAGTAGCCTCAAGCACCATGGCACCTCCATTTCCTTCAAACACCAATTAATTACATTCATGGAGGCCATGGCCCTCCCCCCCCCTCTCTCTCTCTCCTTCTCCTCTCTCTC